GCTAGAACACATGCCACTGACAATTCATTATAATGATATTGCCATAAAATGTGAGGCCTATATATATATATATATATATATATATATATATATATATATTTCCATCAGGAGCTACGGTCTATTGAATCGTTTATTTATCATTTGTTCTTCGAACTTTAATGCACATGCGAATTTAATTGTGACAGTGTACCAATGGGAGCAGTCCTCATTTAGTATATCTTACATGGTGATATTGCTCTTTCATTTGGATTAAAGCATGGTTGTGAAGTAGTATATCCTGGGGAAGGCCAATGGGACTCGGAGCAACAAAGCATTGTCGGATGTATATACTTCATATTTGTATTCTGATGCGATGCATGTACAGCAAGCGTATTCTAAGATAGACATAGTGGACCAACTTAAATACTTTGATGCAAAAAATCATGTCGAATATTTAATAAATCTTGGAGCATATGGATGGATGATATTAGACAAATCAACTAACGTATAATAGCAATGCTACTAAATATGAGATAAGCGGAGAAAATGTGAAATGTTCTGATTTTAGCCAGCGATATTTGATTTAACATTTGTTTGTAATTTTGTGAGAAAGATGCTTTAAAAAAAGTATGCCAAGGAGTTCCTCCTTTGTTGTCGGACTATATATGCAGTGAAAATCATAAAAGCACATAACAGGAATAACGTGTGCATCCAAAATTTACAAAATTTCTAAACAATAATTTTAAAGAAAAAAATTATTTTACTTTTTTGTGGTCTCTTTCTCATTTTACTATCATTTATGATATTACAAACACATGTTCATATGAAAATATATTAGTCAAAATCAGATTGTAAGGTCCATTGAAAGTATATAAAATCTAGCCGCGCAAATACGCGGGTAACTTCGCTAGTTTACCTGGAAGAGAATACAAGCGCTGAGCTTGCACGCAGGTAGCTTTCAGGGGCCCTCCGGACAAGACCCTCCCTGCATGAAATGGCAGCAAAGATTCACAACAGTAATAACCTGCTCGTCATATATACGTCAAATTTGTCGCAGGCGAACTTCTGGGCTCAACCAAGAGTGACGGTCCCCCCGCTCCCGCTCCTTCCTAGGGTTTCCTGCGCCGCCGCCGCTTGCCCTCCCCCGCCCCCACCCCCTCCTCCTCCCCTCCCTCCCCCCTCCCTCCCATGTAACCCCCGCGTCGCCACCCTCCACCCCCCTCCCCGCCCCGAGCGGGGCGACCGGGGGCCTCGACCCATCTCTCCTCCGAGCTCCCCTCGCTCCTCCCTTCCCCCGCCGCCGGTTCCCCGCGCATGGTTGCCGGCGGCGGTGTGGCAAGGCGGCGGCGCTACTGCTTGCCACGGTGGCCCTCGACGCGGCGACACGGCCGTTGGTTGTGGGGCGGCACGGTGGCGCTGTTGGCCGGCAGCGCCCACCGAGCCCAGATCTGGGCCCGTTTGGGCCCCGTCTGGGTTGGGTCGGGCCGATGGCACGGCGCTCGGCGGTGTCGCTTCCTAGTGGCAGTGGCGAGGCGGCGGCGGTCTACGGGCAGCGAGTACTTCGTTGGTCGGCGTGTTGCAGCGCGGTGACAGGGACTGTCCAGGTCCACGTGGACCCGACAAGTCCTCGTCGCCGTGTCCGGTCGGCTTTGCTCTTGCGATGGAGGTTGTTCCCTCCCACCGGTCGAGTAGTGCCCGCTCTCGTGGCCGTTGTCTCCTTTCCCTCTCCAGGCCTCGTGTTGGCAGCTCCAGAGAGACGGCGAGGATGGTCCGGTAACCGTGGTGGCACATGCTGGTGGGCGGCTGCGTGGGTGGTGCACTTCGAAGTGTCTGGAGTGGTGGTGGTGGTTGTGGATCAGGAGAAATCCTTGTCGGCCCGTCGACACCGATGCGATGACGCCTGCGGGTGCCGTCGAACCTTCCTGAGGGGCATCGGGTATATCCCTTCCCCACTATCCCTTGCGTACCGGGGAAACCCTAGAACTTGTTCGGGCAACAACGGCGGCATCGTCGCATTCCTTCTTGAAGGTGTTGCTTGCTGTGCGGCGCTTCGGTGCTGGAAGCGTGGTGGTACTTCTTCGGAGGGTGCAGCGGTTGCCGGTCTGCCTTTCTTCGTTGATCGGCCGGTGTCGGCATTTATTTCTCTTTTTTCTTCTTGTTTTTCTTTTGGGCTTTTCTGTGCTGCGGCCCCAGCAAGCTGGATGTATCGGGTGTTTGCTTTATAATATAAAGCGGGGGAAAACCCTTTTTCTTAAATTTGTCGCAGGCGGCAACAAGGCAGGCAAGCAGGCATGCCATCTCTGTTGAGGTGCCTAGGAAGATCATGACACACTCCAGGTACCACCCAGCTGCCTTGAGGAAATAAAATGACAGAAGAAGATCTTTTGTTCCATGAAAAAAAAAATATTTTGAGTCTGCAGCAGACTTTCAGATATTTTGGCATGGTTGGCGTCTTTATTCCTTTTACACAGTTCGCACATATATTTGGTGCTGGAATGCAGGCAGCATGTAAATGGTGATCTGGGGCAAATTCATGCTAGAGCTGCGATGGTTATCTCATCTTTGCAAATTTCTCCGATCGAGCGTGCGAAGATATTGCTGGACTTGACAACCTCCAGGCATATATTTAATTTAAAGCACCAAGTCCAAATCAAACACGTGAATAAGAACATCAAGTTCAACGTCCACAGTATTACTCCTACAAGCCAATGGAAACTACACTGTTTCCATCAAGTTGTCACTGATCAGTTTCTTATACCTCTTAGAGTTTTTGTATGTTACACTGTTTTACTTGTTCAACAGCCCCGTTATTCCTACTGTAAGCCCCTGTTTAAATCTGCCTCTGGAGTCTAGTCTAGAAAGAAAATAAGAGATGATTCCGTAGTCAAGCGTACTACTATGAACATTTTGTCAGCGCAGGTTATTAATTTAAAAGTTGGTAACTTCTCAGCGGCTGCAGAACTATTGTTGCCGGCTGTATATGACGATTCCCATTGACTATGTCTCATCGAAGTATAATTTACAAATATATTAAGTGAGTTGAGCGACAATGCTTGTTTTCTTTGACTACATCATGTGGTACACTTGTAAATTGTAAGAGCTTTCATCTCTGGAGACAAGTTCTGCATTGACAAGCAATCTAATATATAGAATTATTGGATGAAAGGCATTTTTACCCAACTCCTTCATAGTTGGCACTATTCACCTCTGAATGTTTTTTTTATGTTAATGTCATTATTCCGCTAGTTAAACAGACCTTGTGGATCCTCTCAGATGTCCCTCTTTTCATTGGGAAACGTTTGTAATCGGCGCACCGGCCGAACACTGGTGGGCCACCAATCGTTTTCTTATCCACTCACGAAGGGAGCGACACATCCACTCGTTCCTTTTCGTTTCTTCTTCTTTCTTCGCATCTTCTCCAATAGTTCTCTTCCCCTCCCTCTTCCTCACAGAAACCCACCATGGATCCACTTGATTGTGATCAAGCTTTTGTTCGTGTTGCGCCTCTCTCCTCCATATAGTACTCCGCCATGGATCCCAAGAGGCGGATGCTGGAACCAGCATGTTTTTTTTGCTGGATCCAACATGTGTTTGTGCTGGAACCACCTTGCGCCATTCATGGAGCCACCAGAGCATCGGTGTTGCAACGGGGCGCATCACGAAGAAGCGCGTTGGATGCTGGAACCGGCGCCCGTTGTTGCTGGAACCATCGCACACGGATGCTTCGAGCGGGGAACCTCGATGCGCTGCGACGATGATGGGCGCGGTGACTGTCACCAGTACAGGAGTTGCAACCAGCGGCAAAATTTGCTGGAACTAGCAGCAAAAAAAGCTACAACCGCCTGCAAAATAAGCTACTACCGGCAACTGAAAAGTCTTGCTTTGCTAGAACGCACCACCGGCGTCACAGTTTTGCTACCACCGTGTCGCCGTTTTGTTACAACTGGAGTTTCTTTTTGCTACAACCGGCAGCCGGTGATGGTAGAACTGGCAGTGCGACAAACTACAAGCGGCAGACAGGGAATGTTACAACCACATCCTTTTTTTGCTACAGCCCCATCCTGTTTTTGCTACCACCGGCGACTTTTTTGCTACATGCGTGGCAGACGACGGGCGCCGATGCTTCAACTTGACATGGAAAAAAGCTTCAACTCACCAAGGAGAAGTTACAACCGGTGGCGGAAAAAGCTTCAACGGGCATAGTGGAAAAAGCTTCAACCCCCATGAAAAATCTTCACCCGTGGAAAAATGCTTCAACCGGCGTAACAAAAGCTTCAACCAGAGGCTAAAAAAGCTTCAACCGGGGACGAGTCTGTGGGCGCATGAGCGGCGACAGCGACGAGCGGCGACGGAGAGGGAGAGGACGGGGGTGCTGTGACGGCGAGGGAGAGGACGTGGATGCTTCCTATTCTCGCCGGAGCACACGCACGAGGTGGCTGGGGCAGGGACACATCGCGCCGCATGGATCTGAAGCGTGGGGAGTGAGGAAGAAGATGATATGACGTTGGGGAGGGGGGATCGGACGGCTCCTGCCTGCCAGATCGCACGGCTGCAGGCTGACCGGCCCAAATTTGGGCCGGTGCACCGGCGCGTATCACTGCCCCTTTTCATTCCTCTCTTGTGAAAAGAAGGTGAGAGATCGCATAGTCAAACATATTGCTGGTTAGTAGCATATGTCACAACATTTTGCGCGCACCGCTTCTTAGTCTAACATTGGGCTGTTTCTCTGCAATTGCACAAATATTATCCCAGGCTTTATCCTGACGATTCCCATTGACTATGTCTCTTCCATGTACTTTGTCAACTCCTCCCCGCCTCCGTAATGAGAAGCAGTGAAGTACAAGGATCGTATAAATACTCCTCTATCTTGAGAAGGTTGGAGGAAGCTATAGGAACCATTTAGCATGACAATGCCCAATACCAATAGCATGTTCAGCTTTTCCTGTATTGTCGTCCTAGCCCTAGGCAGTAGAAGCTGTAGTTGCTTGCAGTTTACTTATCCCAACTTCAACGCAATCAAGATGGATGATTTCACCTTCAGCCCAGGCTCAACAATTGCAGATGGCGCCTTGCAGATCACCCCAAGTACCGGAAACATGCGCCACCGGTCGGGGAGAGTGGTTTATGCAAGGGAAACCCTCAAGCTGTGGAACAACAAGCGCATGGCGCCCACCTCGTTCAGGACAGATTTCCTGCTCAACATCCTCCCCGGTCAGAATGGGGCTGGAGAAGGTATGGCATTTGTTCTCACAAACAATCCATCGTTGCCCAACAAAAGCAGTGGCCAATGGCTTGGCATATGTAATGCCACGACAGATGGCACAAAGACGGATCCAGTAGTAGCTGTCGAGTTTGACACGAGGAGGAGCTATGAGGATGACCTTGACGCCAACCATATCGGCATCGACATCAACAGCATCAAATCTATTCGGCAGTACCCGCTTAGTAATGTTTCCATCATCTTCTCAAGTGGGTCTGATGTATGGGTCAGTATTAGGTACCACGGCACATCGAAATTGTTTCAAGTATTTCTAGTCCAACACAGCATTCGTGGGCGGTAGGTGTACCAAGGAGATATCTACATTGATCTATCACAGCTTCTGCAGGACAAGATATATCTGGTATTTGCAGGTTCCATTGCCAACTTCACCCAACTGAACCAGATAAAGTCGTGGAACTTCACCATGATAGATGAATAAGCCTGCGTTTCTTTGGCCTTCGGGCGGCAATTAGCGGGAGATGGAGCTATCGGACGTCGGGTTGCTCTTCACGGGAGGGACTCGACAACACAACAGTTTCTGCTCCAGGACCTCTACTTCCCTCATGAGGAAGTGAGTATTGTGGAAAGTTGTACTATTGTATTGAGAGTGTTGAGTGTTCACTGTGGTGTGCTTGTGAAGTTGTACGTTACATTCTTGCTTGTTTTCTGGCCGAATAATTTTATACATGTATCAGTTCTTTTTAATCACTTAAACAGGACCTATCAAACCAATGCTCTGACGATTTCTTAGCATGTCCTTTTTTTGTCTTTTTACCCTGCTATAAATTAAACTTTTAATATACCAAAATAAGACTCAGATAAAATGAAAGACATATTTTTAGGAGATTGCTTGTTGATCTACATTAAGAAGGAGATTGCAATAGGATTCTAGACAGAAGCAACTATTGATAAATTCAATTGCGACGAAACATCGTGTGCCATTCAACTTTCAACTAAAAATTGTTGGTCATGACACCATTCAATTTGTTGTGCTCGATGTTTGGCCCCCTTGTGTGTATTTTCTGGCTCCGCCATTATTCTTCAAGAAATTTAGGGTTTGAGAAATAATAACTTGGTGATAGTTTCTAGCTTACCGACCTGTCTGAATCTATGTAGCTGTCGTCGGAAATGAGTGAAGCTTCTGACTGTACCTGAAGTCTGAAGCTTTTCAACACATCCAACATCTTCAATTCCTATATACAAAATAAATGGTTCGAGAAATACCAGCTTGCTGCTAGTTTGTAACTTACTGACTTGTCCGAACCAATGGTCGCTGGAAATAGGTCAAGCTTCAGGACCGGAAGCTATAGACACCCAACCTGCCAGCTGCCGCCGCACCACCACACCGTCTCTACACAATTTCACCCCTGCTTCACCGCTTTGGCCATGCCAACCAATCGTGCCCACCTGGCGAAGTTCCCGCACACTGGCTTCTCCCACCACGCGCCGCTAGCGCGCCACCCAACATCTCCAATGGACTAATCCTGCTGGTTTGAAGTACTCCGGGGACACAAATTTGAACTAATAACTACTCCCTCCGTTCCTCTATGTAGTGCGCCTCTTCTCTAGCTGCAATACCAAGACGTGCGCTGGCACATGTACTTTGGACCATAATAACCCTCCGCTCCTGAGCTTGTCCAGGCCCCATGTGCGCAGCCATCCGCCTCGCATCTCATATCTCCGCATTTTCCTCTCTGCATACAGAGTACTAGTACACCATTTTTCTCTCCGGGTCTCTTTCTCCCCATTTCTTGGTCTTGTTGGCCGCGTGCCCTTGCAGTCATCCGGTCGACAAGCAAGCGTCAGCCGCGGGGACGCCGGAGATGCCGGCCACGGGGACACCGGCCAAGGACGCGGTGCACAGCTGTGGCCGCGCAACGGCAGGGTGCAGGGGACGGCCACACGCGCGTGTTGCTGGCAAAACTCGAGGCGCAGCTGCTGGGTGTGTTGACGGCTGGTGGACGAGCTCCACGCGGACGCCCAACTCCCGCGGCTGGTTGCGTACTACAGCCATGTAGAGATCATGGAAGTGCTCCTCGCCGAGGGCCTCGTCAAGCGCCTCCTCTACCTCCAGCGCGCGCCGAGCTCTAGACCCTGACACTGGTGGCCCTGCTCCCCACTGGCAATCGTGGCAGGGGCGCGGACACGCCAGCCGTGGCAGGGGCGCACAAGCATCCTTTCGACCTAGAACAGCAGCGTCGCCGCCATGAAAGGCGCCCCTCCATCTTGGCCCCGTCGGACCAACGCCACCGGGCGATTCCGTCGCTGCCGGTCGATTCCCATCAGCGGCGACGCCCATCACCTCCTCTGTCCATCATCCCTGACCGTCGCGGCGGCGCTGCCTCCGCCACCTCTCGCCTCGCCGCTGGACATGGAGACACCAGCCAAGGACACGGTGAGCCCCGCTGGATTTTGAGAACGGAGGCGATGCGGACTCAAGAGAAAGGGATTGCGGAGGAAGAAGATGCGCAACAGAGTAAAGAAAGAGATAAGGGGTATTATCGTCTAAAGTAGCGCAGAAGAGCAGATACGCACTACATTCTGGAATTTTGCTAAAAAAATTAGGCGCACTATAAAACGGAATGGAGGGAGTACCATCAAACGAGCTGTTTGGTATGCTAATGAGAAGCTCAAAGGATGATAAGAAAGGAATTTACCATGTCAGAATTCCTGCAGCTAGCATGCCGATTCGCACTCATACTGAAATTGAACAGTGGTGTGTAGACTTGACAATCTGAGCCTCGAATGATTGTAAGGGGGCAGTGGCCTCGCTAAATCTCCAGTTGTTAGAAATTCCAGTGTAAAGTTAGTCGCTTAACTAGCAATAAAATTCACACAAAAAAAATCTCTAAGCCGCAGAGGACACAAACCAGTCGTTGCAGCAGATGATGAAGACCACCAGGAGCTTGCCAAGACTGGTGTGCTCCAGAAGAAGTTGAGCTGCGTCGTAGCAAGTTGAAGAGATCCTGACTGAGTGTACATTTCCTGAGAAATATCCCGCGGACGTTGCAGGGTGCAGCGTGCACACGTCACAGCGATGGCGCTGCTGGTGGTTATTGCGGCCACTACCTCCTTGGAAGGAGCGAGCCAGGACCAGCGGGGTTGCGCCACCGCCGCGGCGCTGAGCCCGGGAGGTGGGAAGAAGGCGGCGGTCTTTGGGCTAGTTTCTATCCTTTCCTTTTTAGAATAAAGTTCTCTAGATTAAAAAGGAGTTTTACTAGAGCACATATGATTAATGGTATTTTGTTTCATCACTGCTTGAGAGAAGCAAATCAAGTGGCACATCAATTTGGCAAAATATTCTTACGAGTCTCATGCTGAATTTGGTTAGTATGGTCGTCCACTCGATTTCCTCCTGTCTTATGTAATCCATGATGTAACTCTGTTGACATTGTAATAAAGATTCATGACACAAAATTTCAAAAAGTAAGAAAAAAAAGAGTCGTCCTATTTAGCAACCTCAGCTTGCGAGGGGGCACAAACGCCCACGCCGAACCATGTGCCCTGTTTTTCCTTTCGCTTTATTTTCTTTTTTGCTTTTTTTGCATCATATTGTTTAGGATTAAAAAAAACGAATTTCTAAAACCTTCAACAATTTGAGAATGCTCTCGGATTATAAAATGTTCATGAGTTCAAAAAATATTCTCAAATTCAAAAAATGTCCGTGCATTCAAAAAATATTTTTATTTCTAACAAAACTTCTTGAATTTGAAACAAATGCTTGCGTATTTAAAAAAAATCCACTAATTCAATAAAGATTCATCAATTTAACTTTTTTGCAAATTCAAAAAAAACATGGATTAAAAATATGTCATGAGTTTAAAAAATGTGTATGAATTTACAGAAAAGGTCCAAAAATTTCAAAAAATGTTCACGATTTTCAGAAATTGTTCACGAAATCCAAAAACGTCCATCAAGTTAAAAAAATGTTCACGAGTCCAATTTTTTCACTAACATCAAACAGCGTTCGAATGTGTTAATAATTGTTCATGTATGTGAAAACTTTGTTCATGAATTCCATGAAAATGTTCACAAATTCATAAAAATCATGAATTTGATGTTCACAAGTTTGAAACAAAATTTTGATTTTAAAAATACTTTTGCGAGTTTATTCTTTTCACAAATTTAGAAATTATTATCAAATTCGTAAAATGTTCACAAGTTTTTTATAATCAGGTTTTTGGATTGTTGGAAATATGAGCAAATTACTACAAGATTTAATCTGAATAAACAGAAAATAAATCATGACTACAGTAGCAGAGATTGAACTAATCATGTGAACTAACATAGCAGATGAACAGATCACATCTAGGGCACATACTAGAAACATGAGTTCTACCACGATCTCGAACAGAAAAGATAGAATCACGTACGGTGCAGCGGGAGCAGCACCGCCGGCGTTGACGTTGTCGCCCATGTCGTCGAGGATGAGGTTGCCGAGGTCGGGGAAGAAGTCGTCGTTCGCGAAGTCATCGCTGCCAGCAGTCGCGCGAGTGCGCTCCCCAAAAACCTGACCGCCCCTCTCCCGTACAGGATCACGAGAGGCGGGGTTCCGGAGGCCTGCTGCCCCTTCTCCCGGTGCACGCCGAAAGAAGGGATGGAGAAGACTTGCTTGGCGGCGCAATGATTTGGAACGGGGGTGAGAAACCATACGAAGCGGCGGCGGCTAGGGTAGACGTCTGCCTGACTATATAGCGCGGGCCCGAGCAGCAAAAATATAGACAACGTGCATAGCTCTGTCCTCGGCTCGGCTCAATCCCGCAACCCGCGGCGCGTCGTGCCGAGCGAGGAGGAGGAGCGCGCGTGTAGGTCTCCTCTTCTCATGCTCATACAAGTGGTAGGAGAGCTCACCTTATAAAGAGGTGCAACTCTTTCTCAACTTATGATGTGGGACTAAACTTTAGCCTCACTCACTCCACTCATATATGTGCATGAATGGGCCAAGAAAATTTCAAAATTTTAGTTGGGCTTTGGGCCAAAAGCCCACTAGCAAATTCCAACAAGATCTGCAAAATCCGCTCACTACGGGCCAGCTTGGGTAATTCTTCGTCATAATGGGTTCTTCTCTTTATCGTTCTCCTTGTGGCTCAATGGCATGGTGCGGGATGCAACGATTTTGTTGGTGTCTACCCTAGCGCTCTCTCTCTCTCTCTCTCTCTCAGCGTAGCACTCTTCTCTCTCTGATGCGCTCGAACGACACGAGGAAGAAGAAGAAAGGAGGAACAGGAGGGACACAAGAGACACGGTGGTGTTTTTCCCGGCGCACGAACGCCGCTGCCACAACGGGCAATATCACGAGCAACAACTCGACACACTCCCATTACAACGAGCTCCACAGGGGTCTTATACCCAGGGCCAGCAATGGGCACGACCCACGCTCCCACCCAGTCCAAGCGCTTGATCCGGCACGCTCTGGCGGTTCCCACGACCCGCACGCAC